AATACACAAATGCCTCTTAAACTTATTATTTTGTTGCTTTAGATGATAGGCAAAGAGAATGGGTATGACATTGGATTCTACATATTTTCAGGAATGGGGAGGTAGCAGAGGCAGTACCCTGCAGGGAGTCGTAGGCCATCTGTTTGTGCATGGGACTACCAGTAGTTGAGAATGTAGAGCTCCTTGTGCGGTAGACACATCTTAGAACACAGAGTTTTGCAATGGGAAAGCACTCTGGGACGTTAGAAGACAGATCTTCCAGTTACAAGGTGCTTATGAGAGGTTGAAACACTCCCTACTGGGCTGAAGATCAATCTGTGTGGTACATGTTTGTTGTGTGATATGAACACAGTCTCTATTAGAGCAAAGTCCAAAGTAGGCTAGGATTTACAACAGTGGTATTGGCATATTGCCCTTAGAGGAAGGAGAAAATCAGAAGGCCACAGAGATGTCATTGGAAGTCTGAAGCTGCCTGACTTAAGGTGGAGGAGTTAGGACCCATCAGGACTCAACTGGTTATGCTGGCCACGTTGATGCAAAATCATAATCAACATGAAGTTACTTGTGTCAAGTCCTAATGTAAACCAAAATTAAAATTGGGGAAGCTGTGTATTTATGAAGGAATGAATTTCATTCATATAAAAAACTATCACAAAACACTGCTTAGGACCACATTGCACAAATTTTTCACATCACACACACACACACACACACACACACACACACACACACACACACACAGCAACTCCATAACTACCTATAGTCCAGATACCTACAAATGCATTGCCTTTCAAATCCCTTGTACAAACATCTGTCTACAAGGCCTTTTACTCATTAATGATGGGCTCAAAAGTATGCACTGGTGCTGTTGCCACCTGTTTTCTGGACCCTTTAATAGTCTTTTATGATTCCTTGTGGCCAAAGGTTATTGTCTCCAAAGTAATTTGTGTATCTTCTAAATTTCTTTAAAGTTTCCCTGTATTCTTATAACATGCACACCACACACTCTAGAATGTGTGATCCTCTTTGCAATGTCTCCGTGCTCAGAAATCATTATTTTCAGAGAATTTCTTTGATTGGTGATTAGGTTGGTATCAGAAAAGTCCCTTTTTCCTTGACTGTTTCAAATATGTTCTCTTAAAGAATGGGGCATCAGCCTTGGAACCATGAATGTTTTTCTACAAACTATTTCTAATTCTGGTTTCAGTTTTAAAACATGTCTGCAAGAACCCCAAGGACCTCACTATGGTTCTGATGAAATTCCTCTTGACATTACAGGTCTAATTATAATGCTTCCTCTGCATAGTTAAGATGCTATCGAAATTCCTATTTCCATGTTGCTTAGTTTACATGTGACTATAAATAGTTGGGCTCTTTCATATCTTGTTTATTTGTGAACTTCAAGAACAAAAAAGAACATTCTGAACATTGGCATTAGTTACATTAAGGCCCCCGAGAATTGAATATTCATAATCATTTTACATATATCACACTTTATACTATAAGGTGTACTTTTTAAATGTTTCCCTTGATCACCCCGACACCATGATACCTGGTACAGAGCCTGGATACAGAGGGCACTGTTTACAACCTGGCTGTACCACTCAACAACCTCACCATGCTGAGCCCCAAACTGAATGCCATATTCTCAGTTTCCACAGCTGTGACCCAGCAGGTCAGAAAAGGGGGCACACACACATAATAGAAGGTCTGGTGCCAGGCTGCAGGGTGCTGTTCTGGCTGACTACTGGGCATGACTGCTGAAAGCTGTTCTGACTTTGCAGGATCTCTAGTTTCCTTCCAACAATAGAGCTAGTGGTCTAGAAAGTGTCCCTAGACCATTTCTATCTGAATGGAAGTTATAGTTTCTCTGAGGCAGCTGTGAGAAAGAAATGATGTACAGGTTTCAAGCAGGTCCTGTGAGGGTTTGTACAGGAAGATGAGTGGGTTTGGGAGATATCCATCATTATTGTAGACATTTTGTTCATTTTAACAGGCACAGAGATACAGCATGGAGCAAAGAGAGCCCAGACCTCAGCGGGTTTGACTCAAGATTCACAAACTGGAATGGATTTTGTGTGTATTTATGAAGGTGATGATGCCCACTAGACAATTATTTTTTACCTTTGGGAAGTCAAAGGTCATGGGCCAGACATTCATTTTGTGAAAGTTCAAAGGAAACAAAACCACTTACTCCTGCTAAAAAATTGCCCAGGTATTCGGGAAACCGATATTTCTAAAGAATATCTTGGGTTAGGATAGGTTGAGGTACAAAAGCATATGAAGTCCTGGAACAAACAAGCAGCTAGATGAGGTTCCAGGAAGCAGTCCTCACCAAGTTCAAGTTCAGGCCTTCTCACACAGGTTTACTAACATCTGAGACCCCTTCAAGTCCTCATGCCTGCATGCCCCTCCCACCCAGGATCAGGAGCTCAGGAACAGCCATCCCACTGGGTCACACAGACAGGGAGGCACAGCTAGTTCCAATAGGATCCTATCCCTGTGCTTTTGTTCCTACCAAAGAGAGGGCCTGGGTGTGGCTTTGCCTGAAGGGGCCTCCTGGAAGGGGGCATGGAACACTCAAGGGGCCTGTCATGGGAGTTGGTGAGAGCAGAGCAGGGCCTCCATCTGCTGCCCCCCCCAGCTGCTGCTAGACTGCAGTCACCCCCCACCCCAGGAGGGTATTGGGTGGGATCCCACTTAGACACTTCCTCCTTGCTCAGACATGAGACCAGCCTGTTGTAGAATCCCAGAGTGCATACATGCAGAAACCTGCTGAACTTGGCAAGTGAGCTGGGCTAGTGTTTGATTTTACATATACAGGCCTAGTGCTTCAGACTGTCCTGCAGGAGGCTTTAGGTTCCAGCTGTAATCCTGCTGAATCCCTGCCCTGCACAGATCCCTGATGACACCTTTTTATGTCCAAGCAGAGAGTGTAGCAGTGGACATCTTACTTTCTGCCTTGAGGGGAGCTACAGGTACTACCTGATACTCACTTAACTTTGTACCCTGCAGGGGGCTTGGGGCCCCACAAGACACAGTAAATCCTGCAGGGAGCAGTCTCAACTAAAGGGAACACTTTTCAGTGCAGGGCTCCCATGAAACTGTGGAACCAGTAAATTGATAGTTTGAAACATAAAGGCAGCAGTCATTCTCAGTCTCCCAGTTTCCCTGTCTGGCTCACCTGGACCTTGGAATGACAGCACATCAGGGCATCTGGTGGCAGTTTGGGTAAAAGTAGCTGCAGCATGTATCTAGGTTTCCCTGAAAAGCACACATGACCATGAACAAACAGGAATGCATGAGACCTGTCCCCCAACCCTAAAGACACTGGGGCCCACATTGCCTACAACTGGGTCAACATGGACACAAGAAGTCCTATCCATGGAGCCCTCAACTAATGCCTGTTGGAAACAGGAGCAAAGACCCATACATAAACACTGAGTCAAAGTAGAGCCCATATGCAAATGGAGAGGACAAGACCAGGCTGCAGAAACACCTAGCTTACCTGAACAAAGAGGAGCTAACAGGCCACCAGACTGATAGCAGGGAAGCCAGCATGGGACTGACTCAGGCCCCCCTGAATATGGGTCTCAGCCAGGACTGAGCAGTCTAAGGGACCTCAGACAGTGGAGCCAGGAGGTATCCCTGGTGCACAAAAGGACTTTGCGAACACATCCCCCATGGAGGGATAACTGCCTTAATCTAGAGACAGGAGAGAAGCTCTATTCCTTACTTCACATGACCTTTCAGATCTACATGACCCCCAACTGGATGGCATTCCCCTACATATGGAATTGGGGTGGGGGATGGGAGGGGAGGGTGGTTAGAGTGCATGTGAGAGCACAGAGAGGGTCAAATGGAGGGAGGAAGGGGGAACTGGGATCGACATGTAAAATAATAATAATAATAAAAAATGCTTTGACTCCAAAATTTAAGTTGAAGGACAAGTTACTGGGGAAAAGGATTTCTATTTTTGTTTCCACAGAAAATGAAAAGATGTGGATTCCTTCCAGACTAATGTGGTTTGATCAAGCAAGATTACCTGAAACAGAGTAACAGGTGATCCTACATTCAAAACAGCTAAAGACTTGGGTTCTGGAGTAGTCACTGTGGGAACTGGCAAGAATGGCTCTCAGATGGGCTGGGCAATTGCAGAAGACATAGATGCTCCCAAGAGGCAGCCATGGGCCCTCCACAGACAGGGTAGGGCATGGTGGGAGACCTGTGGGCTCTTTCTTCATTTCCTGTGGGGTCTCCATATTGGGCCCTGGGTTTGCTGTCAGTCTTTCCCCTTTTTGGGGTTTGCCTGGGCCTCCTGGGTAGAGGTGCTTCAGATGGATGGCTGTTTGCCTCCTGGGGCTCACCTACACACAGAACAATCTTGTGATGCCCCTCAAGTCCTGCATCTTGTAACCCATTGTCCCCTTCAGTGGGCACCAGAGCAGCTCTTCTACTGCATACGAAGAGCCTTAGTACTGGCTTGCCAGGGCTACTGGCATTTATTCGACCAGTTTTCCTGGTGGACTGAAGGTAACTCATGACTGATCTTTTCTTTATATACTGTATCTGAACTTGCTAGATAGACCCAATACATCTTGGCTTATTTATCCACAGACTAAGGGTGACAGCAAACACATTGTTAGGGCTGAGGCAATGATATGGGAACCAGAGTCTGGTAAGACAGGCCACAGTGGCTGTGTCCAGGGACTTGGAATCTACCAAAAGAGTGTTGACAGCTCTCAGAGAACCTTCCTTTGTGCTGCTGCCCTCTAGCCATGGGAGAGAGACAGGGATCCAGGAGCCCACAGACACAGAGGGATGCATGTCCTGTATCTCCCCCCACACTCAGGCCTCTGTGCTGGTGATTGACTGTGCCTGTGGTCTCCAGCTGAGCCCAAGGTCACATTCTGCCCAACCCAGTCATCTGTACACCTCTGTTTCCACAGCCACAGCACACAATGATCACAGTAGGGTTATTTGTTAACAGGTGATGGAGATGGAGGAGGAGGGGATGGAGCAGGTGGTGATGTAGGAGGGAGCAGGTTCTCCTCTGGATCCTGGAAGTGAAAAGAGATGGTCTGACTGTTACCTGCAGTCTTGGGCACACAGACCCATACATACAACTGCAGTAGGGCTGTGGAGTGAATGGAAGGCTGTAATGCACACCTTGGGGAGGTCATCCGTGTGAAGAATAACCAAGAGTAACCAAAGCCCTCTAGCTTGCAGATATTGAGCTTCCGCAAATGCCAATGGGTCACACTCTTGGTTCTCCTGAGGTCACTCTTGCTTGGCAGAAGCCTCGCCAGCACACTGTGCAGATGGTAGGCTATGGAGGTGGCATTCTCCTCCACCAGGCCATGGCCATTAAAGGGACAGTAGCCCATGGATCCCAGTAGCCAGCAGCCCATGGATCCCAGTAGCCAGCACTGTCCCATGTGGATAGGAAAGCTGTTCCCACCCCAGCAGAGGCCCAGTTTCAGTCTCTGTTTCCTGCGGCTTTTCTTTACCTCTTCTGGTCCCTGCCCTGAGGAAGGCTCAGTGGTGTCTACATCCTGGTCCCTGTGCTCAGCTGGGGACATACCTCATAGCTCATTGTCAGTTTCGATATCCTTTGTTTCTGGGATTCCTAGGCTGACCAGAGTCAAACACTTAGCCCTACTAGCCAGTGATGGAGATAGCTGTACAAAATCCCAAAGGCTCTGAACCTGTATAAAGAGACCTGGCTCTGACTCATTCAGCTCCTATAATAAGAACCTGTTTGCATCCTTGGCATTCTACAGAGAGCCCTGTGGGATCCACTGCAAAACTCCAATTCAGCAATGGACAAATGCACATGCTCTGGGTCAGTTCAACAAAGCCCTGATTTGTGGAAATGCTAGGAGTTTGGTAATGGTATTGTCTAGGTGACATTAGTTTGAAACCTATGTCTTTCTGGTACCATGTTTGATCTGCAATCCCCCCAGTTCACTGCCAAAGTAGTGAGGGATTCTGAGGTCAGGCTTCATGATGAGAAAGGTCAGTGTGACAGTGTCACCCTCTTCCCCCATCCAACTCATCTTCTCTGCTACCCACCCCAGACCTCTGCTTCTTCCTCTCCCACCTCTCTTCCTTTCATCCTAGCATTTCTGCATTTTCCACCCTATCCCAGATGCCATTACCACTCCTGCATTCTCCTGATGTGTCCCTTCTTTAGAGGATCATTTCTCACTTAAAGAATAAGTAATTACACATGAAATGATGCCTTGCTTGGAATTTAGCTAAAGATATACAGTGGCAAGACTGTCGGGGAGCTACACGGTGTGGATTGTGAACTCCTGGGCAGTGGCTATGGGTGCTTCAAGCCCATGTACTTTTTGGTACATTTGTGTTTGGTAGACCATGTGCACTGAAACTGATTTCGTGTGAAGTGCTGATGTCTGAGATGGGAGCAGCCAGGAAATGACCTTTGGGTTGGAGGCTCACAGATACGTGAGAGGCAAATGCTAAAGCACCTACTATGTTGCTGAGTGAGTCAGGAAGTGTGGGCCCTGGGAAGAGTGTTCTACTCCTAGTGCAATGGATGTGTTCGGGGCCATGGAAGCTCCAGATAAAGGCAGCATGAAGCACTGGTGGCTTGGGTACAGGCCACCAAGAGCGGAGCTTTATCCCCACTGGCCAGGCTTCCAGTTTCCCACTCCTTTTTTTCTCCTGTGTGCTGTAATGAATGTCTTTCCAGAAAGACTTTCTGGACATCATTCATGCTCAGCCTGGAGACTGCTGCTCTGTCCCATCTGTGAATGCCACCTTCTGGTATCAGACTCCCAGGAGGGGAAAATGAAAAGGATAAATGAATGCTGTAGTGAGGACAGACTAGTCTCATGCCAGGCTCCAGATGCCTTTGGAACCTGGGTTTTTTCTTTCACTATGATTGTGGGAAGAGAGATAGGCATGATGCTTGGTCCATTTTCCATTGGTCCATGCTGCCTATAGCTCCCCCATTGGACATGGTCATCAAGAGCAGAAGGCATGGCTGACATAGAGAAATGATTCTCTATGTATCAATAAAAGCTCAGACATTTCACAAAAACATGTCATGTGTCACATGCACATTATATGCCCTTCTACACCACAATACATCACAACACAGAATACCGTAACATACATAGCACAATCTTTACCACACTTTCTCCTGACATGACTGTTTGAGCCACGTTGTTCCACAGCCTCTCCACCATCCATATCACATTACGTATATCATGCATACACACTGCTCTCACATATCCAGCAAAAGCACATTTAACACACACAAGCATTCTTGGGCTTTTCTGTGTCAATGTTGCAAACTTTCAGACTTTTTTCCTGCATGTATTTTCAAAGGCCTAAGAACCACACCGTCAGGGTTTAGCTGCAGCATCACTCCTGATGCCAGTTTTCTGTATTAGTTACTTTTCTTGTTGAGGTTGTCAAAAAATGCCAGAAAAAAATCAACTTAAATAAGGTGATTTTAGTTCATAGTAAACATGCAGTCCTTCATGTAAAGGAAGGAGGCATGGTGGCAGGAACATGAGGCACGGGGTCATATAGCATCCACAATCACAAATGATAGAGAGGAGAATGCCAGATCTCCCTTACTTTCATCTTGTTATTAATCAGCTTGGGATCTCAGACCAATGAATATTGCTGTCTGTATCTAGAGTGGTTTTTCCCACTTTAATGAACTCAGTTGAGAAATCCCTCATGGTCATGCTAACAGGTTTCTCTACTACCATTTCAAGATTCTATGATCCATACTATCACCACATACATCACATATACCACACACATCCTGGAAGCACCACACACAGAATGGACATCCCATACAAAGCACACTGAGAAATAATATTACTACCTATGCATACTCATGCAAATGTATATATTCTCTTGAGTAAAACCATTTGCCCATGTCTATGACAACTCAGCTATTACCTTTTGTACACATATAGGAAAGTTTCACCAAAAACACCTGAATACAACACTTGGAAGCAATCAGAGAGAATGAGATGGAAATGGATATGGACAGGACAGTAAGCCCCATGGAATGCATTCAAGGCCGTCCAGTCTTCTACATCCCACTTAATTTGTCCAGGATTTCTTGCAGAGCAGTGAACCCTTGTTTGACCTCAAAAGTGTGATCTGGGCTATCTGCAACTTGGGCCACTTATGATAGGAGGAGAGTATCTGGTTTGACTAAGGAAAACTATAACCATACTATCTGTCTTCAACTCTTTCAAAGACTACAGAAGGATAGTATATAAACTCTAGTAATGACAAGAGACATCTCCCACCGCATCAGTCACTTAAAGTTATTCTGTAATATTCCATCTTCAGCCTATAGGCCATAGTGAGTCTGGTAGACTCCTCAGCAAAGCAGGACAGTTTAAACTGTCCACCTATATTGGCAGTTTGTCAGTTATTATTCTCTGTGTCCTTCAGAATTCCGGCAGATTCTTCCATGAAGCACGAACCCTGTGTGGGTCCTGCATGTCCAGTTTATACAGCACAAAGTCAAACAGTCCAGACAAGTGCAGTATCTTGCCCAAATGGCTAGTCTTGTCATATTGAAATCAAACTCCATAACAAGTTTCTTTGATGTCCATCTTTCTTTCTGATATAAGTAGTGTTTCCAGGAGCAGTATTGTCTCATTGTCAAGAAAAACCCTAACCATTTTCAATGCCATATTCTATAGGTCTTTGAAAGGTTTGAAGATGCCTATCCATCTCTAAAATCTGGCAAGAAGCCGTGTTCTTTTTGTTTGTTTGTTTGTTTGTTTGAGACAGGATCTCTCTACATAGCCCTAGCTATCCTGGAGCTCACTCTGTAGACCAAGTCCACCTGGAACTCAGAGACCCACCTGTTTCTGCTTCATGAGTTCTTGGATTAAAGGTGTGCCCTAGCACAGCTGTTTTATCCTTAATTATTTAAACAATCATTTGATAATTTGGCTTCAAGTTTATCTCATTTTAATTCTCCTTATAATTTTTCTGACACATGGAAGATTGATCCCTTGCTATTAGCTAAATTATGCATTGGTGAGCTGTGCATTGACGAAGTAGGTAAGCATGAGCCTATGTGAGTAGTTCATAGGCAAACATCGCTGCTGTTTGTTTTACCTAGTTGCCTTCTGTAGCCAAGGACAGGCACAGAAAGGCAAACAATTACTACCATCCAACTGAGTCTGGAGTTTTAACCCGAACATGGACACAGGAAAAGGAGTCAGACATGTGTGATGCCTCATATCTCTAAGCCAAACTCTGGAGAAGCTACAGGAGGGTTATGGTGGGATTGAGGTAGCTTGGACTATATACTGAGTTCTAGGTCTACCTAGGTTACAGAAGGACACAGTTTTAAAATACGATGAGAAAGGGGTGTTTGGGGGCGGGGAATCACAGACGTGTAGCATGTTATAAGATTGGACCATGGCCAGGCTCAGGCTTAAACCACTTTTGCTGACCAACCCTAGTGAGCCACGAGGATCCTGCCTATAGACTGCTCTTATACGGAAACAGCAAGCTGAACAGGCTTAGCCAAATAAGGACTTTTTTATGACAGAGAGTGCTCACTATATGGAAGGTGGAAGGCAGAAGCCAGCGCCATCTTTTAAGGCATGGCACTAAGCAGCTCTCTACAGTTCCCCCTTTTTGTTTTATTAATGCAACAGGCAAGGGTAGTGGTCTGATCTCCAGTTATGTAGTGGACATTATAATGACCCTGAACCCTGGTAGTCAGCCAAGCCATTGCCACACCTATCCGGTATCTTTTTCATGGAGGTGGGGCCTCAGACAACAACTCACATGCAACCAGACTTGCCCTTCTTGGAGTTGCTCCCTTCCAGAGCCATCTCAGAATGCAGACACAGAGGGACTGGACACATGTCCTATATCTCCCCACACACACTGGCCTCTGTAGTGGTGATTGACTAAACCGCCCTCTCAAGCTCAGCCAAAGGTCACATACTGCCTCTGAGCAAGCCTCAGCCTGCAAAGGCACCACAGGCCCACAAAGGAGATAAGCAGCAAGAGGATAGCCATGGCTCCCATT